AGACTCACAACACACACAGGGTGACCCCTACAAAGGTTTTGAAGTGTTTCCAGTCACTGTTATGTAATAGCAGCTCCAATAGCAAGTGGAAACATATGCTATGCAATAACCTTGTGTAGTGGAAGGGGTCTGCTGTTGCTCAGTATTAGCAAAGCTGAGATAGACTCACTTCCAAACAGTTACTCCTGTACCATTATAACTGAGAGATGTTTCACAGACAACACATTCCAAGGAAGGAAAATGTAAGATTTAGAAAAGTGCTTATCATGTGGGCACAAATGAAATGTTCCACATGAAAGAACATTTTTAAAATTCCTCCCTTCCTACCTCTGTCTCCTCCTGAACAGTCAAATATCCTATGGTCCTGTGTTGCAGGTCCCTACTGTGGGCAGCCGCACAGTGGCAGCCATTAATGTCAGTGTTCAGGGTGAGAACACCTCGATGACTAAGAAGACTAAGATTGCCATTGAGCCTCCTGCTTTCATTCATATCATCCAGACTGATAAACCTATCTACAAACCTGGACAGACTGGTAGGTGTCTGATGTCACGGGCCAGAATCCTATTCACTAACGTTTAAAGTGTTAAAGCTTCCTGCTGTGTGGAAGACTTGGTAAAACTGCTGCAGTCGTACTGTTCATCTTGCCCACATTATGCACACGGAACTGCTTATTAATTCTGCTGAACTTGCACAGTTTTGGGCTGCTTTTAATATGTGCATAATGCTGAGCCTTCACTTGACGACTTTAGGAATCACATTTATATTCAGAATTTGGAGGAAGGGTTATTCCTCCTCAAGAGGAATAGCATAATAATAAGGTAGAGGCTGTTTGTAATCCATGTGAAGTTCTCTTCATCTTTTTGAGGGGGGAGACTGGCAAGACGAGTGCACAGGCTTGTGCAACCTCAGTGGCTGTGCATAGCCACAGCACCTGGTATGCCTCCATCCAATTACTAACCAGGCACAGGCCTGCTCATATTCTAAGACTGGATAAGACTGGGCATGATCGGGGAAGCATGGCGCTGTAATCTGTGTGAAGTGTTCATTAAAAGAAAACATCCAGTGCAAATTTTGAGGGGTTTTTTTGGCTATGTGTGATGTTTGGAACCAGTATGTTGGTGCTAAATTAATATAACCTTGAGGTGATAAAATGTGAGCCAGCACTTTATCCAACTTGACATCTCTCTGACACCTCATTTTGTTATGATTGGTATTTTCTAAATGGTTGTTCCACCCATTTGGTATTGGACTTACATGGAGAAGTTAGACGTCTTTTGAGACAGAGTTTAAAAAGAATGGTTGAATTTGGAGAAGCAGAGACAGGGACCCCCTTTTTTAATTCTGTATTTGAACCACAAAACAAGAGCTCCTACTGTACATGTACCATAATGCAATTCAGTAGTGGCTGAAAGGCTGGGTGCTTATCTGGTATGAAGGGTTAAATTCCTTGCCCCAGTTTTTACCTCTGGTTTTCTGTCAACAATTTGAAGTCTAAAGTCCATTCTGAGATTCCTTGTGGTGAGCAAAATGATTTCTGAGTCTAATATACTAATTAAAATTAAAGAGGACTCCAGTCAGTTTTAACTGACATGGTTGGTTCAACTCAGCCTTTGAAAACAGCTGGTCACAGTGTCTTCTGTGACTGAGGAGGAGCTCTGAGTCTCAGAAAAGACAATGTCAGAGTGACTTCATTAGGGTGGTCTTGGCTTGGGCTCGCTGATTACAAAATTATACTTTGATTATGTGATTGATTGATTACATGCAGCTTGAAAGATGTCAGTGGGAATTACAATGTGTTATTGAGTTGCATCATGGGGTCCAGTGGTTTTGGAGCTAAAGTCAGGATACTTTGACGTGCGTTGCTTCAGTGTTAGTCTTTTTCTTTTTAATCTGTCTCTCAGCCTTATGGAAGTGCAATAATAAATCACTGGAGTGTCACTTAAGACTCGTTTCTCATTAGCCTAAAACTTCACTAGAAAATTTGTGCTCTTTTTGTTTGTACGCTATATATAGAAAATTTGAAGGTGCAGTGTGCTGTAGGATTTCATTCTCTTTATTATCATTGCTGTTTTCTCACAATTTCATGTATTACAGTATATTAATATTCTAAACTGATAGTAATTATTATAATTTTTTTTTTTTCTAAAGTCCAGTTCCGGGCTGTCTCCATGGATTCACATTTCATTCCTGTAAATCGTGTGGTAAGTTTTATTCTATTTCTGAATCATGTGATACTGTGTGATGTGTTCCAACCAGTGAACTTTGTAATCTGGTGTGATTTCTGCTAAGCAGTTGGTGAATCTGAGGAGCAAGGTCTATTTTGGTTCATGAGAGTGGGAGGCGAAAGGAGGGCTGTTTGTTGATTTTCGAAGACAGTGTGGGTGTGAAGCTCTGTGTGGAGTAGTGTGATAAACATGCTGTCAGAGTTCATTTGGCACACACTGCATTTGACCCAAACATCTGAATCAATATGGGCTCGAGGCCTTTTCTGTTTGTGATGACAGGCTGAAAACAAGAAATCCATTCAGATGTATCTAGAAACGATTCTAGTTTGTTACAAAGTGGTGAATTCCATCACAAAACAGACTCAATATTAAAGCTGCACTCTATCACACATTATGCCACTTCTTGTTTCAGCCTGTCTCTGAATAAATTATTTGAACCTAAATGTGATGGTTTTTTATGGCTGCAGCATTACCATATGAAAATATTCTGCATGTCCTGTGCATCATTTACAAACACTTAACCGAAAACATAGCTTAATGCAAATACTTACTATTAAAACTTTGACATCTTGACTGGCTTTCATTACAGAACTCAAGCTTATAATGCATGACCTTCGGTTTATCACAAGTTTTTGCAGTGGAAAAACTAAACTAGATCATTTTCTTCTGTGAGCCAGCTACAGCTAAAAATCACTTATACTACACTAATGTAAAAACTTTTTCCTACTCAAGAAATAGAGTAGAATATTGACACATTTATGGAAAGGCTTTACTCGTGTATTCTAATTGTATAATATGCAAATGCTGTGTGCAGCTAAGCGGCTTTTTACATGAATGTTTTGTTTTTTTCTTTTCAGTACGAAGTGGTGGGGCTCCAGGTAAGAAACAGCACAAAATGTTTGCATTAGAAACTGAATTAGGTTCTAATCAGACATTGCCAGCTCTCCCACCAAATGCTAAGTGATTTATTCATTTTCTTTTTTTAAATAGATTTTTAGGACTTTTGCCATCATTTTAGGTGCATGATATTCAGTCCGCGACTGGAATCAAACCGGTAACGTTGCAGTTACTGTATGTTGCGTGAACCTTAGATGTTTCTGTAAGCGGCAGTGCATTTCCAAGTGAAACAGTATGGTGTGGGATTTGATTAGACTGTTGATGAACTGACTTCAAAGTGGGTGCGGCTTGCCCCAGATACATTTGATTGGATTAATATATGTGTATGCGCTCAAGTTTAGGATGGCTCATTATAGATATTTTATCAGAGTAAAGACATGGATCTTGATAAACTGCTGCAAAGATGATTTTTTTTGTTTGTTTGTTTGTTTACATATGTGACAAAAACCCAGAGAAAACACATTCAAAGAGGATTGCAAGTTGGAAAATAAGATTTGTTTCACAGGGTCTTTACAGATGATCATGATACAGACAGGCAGGCTGGGTAAAGGGCATATGCACATTGTTTGCCTGTCATATAATTCTGTTCATGTAATGTAACACCCATACTTGAAAACTCATGTATGTGGGATTGTAAAATGTTTGGTGAATTTTGGCTTAGTCCATATTCCCAAAAAAGATAAATAAGCAGGCTGGGTAAAGGGCATATGCACATTGTTTGCCTGTCATATAATTCTGTTCATGTAATGTAACACCCATACTTGACAACTCCTATATGTGGGATTGTAAAATGTTTGGTGACTTTTGGCTTAGTGCTAGTACCCAAAAAAGACAGTGTAACATTGGTATCAACCAATCGGGAGAGAGACACTAGTCTGAATGGGTTGAAAAATAGAAACTCATAGACTGCACAAGTTGTCACCATGAGTCTGTCATTGTTTTGCACCCATAGGCTTGTAATATAATGCAGAATGGAGCAGCCTCCAGTAAACCTGCCTGTTTCATTATTGTATGCAGGATCCCAATTCAAATCGCATTGCCCAGTGGTTGGATAAATCCCTTGCTAGCGGCATCCTTGATCTTTCCCACCCCCTGATTCCAGAGGCGCCCCAAGGAAGATACACGATCACTGCCTCAACCGACAAAGGAGAGCAAATATCCCACAGCTTCGATGTCAAGGAATATGGTCTGCTATATTATATATTTGACATTAAAGATACAGAATTCACTTAAGGTAGCACTAGCATGAAACTCGGTCCACTCTTCTCTGCCCAGTGCTCCCTCTCCCTGCTCAGCTATGCTCTGCCCAACCCTTCAAATATTCATTATGAAATTAAAAGAAATGAAATCTCTGATTGGTTTGAGAGGTCAATTCTGCTCAAAACCTTTTAGAAACTAATATCTGTGTTGCTCAGTGAGTCTAGGTCACAGGAGGCTTCGACAGCAGCTCTCATTAAGACGAGTTTTGGAGCAGATTTCTACAGCAAAAATATTGAAAAAACTTGCATATTGTAGCTTTTAAAAAGATGAGTTTATATACATTTTGAGTTGTAAGATTTTGATTCTGTTTGCTTTAGTTTTGCCAAAGTATGAGGTGAAGGTTCACCTGCCCAGTGTGATAACCATCCTGGACAAAGAGGCAACGCTAAAGATTTGTGGAAAGTGAGTGTCCAACTTAAACAGGACCGCCAGAGGCTAACATTAGCACTCAAGTTTAGAATGGACCAGTGTACACTGGCTTCACAAAGTATTCAGAACCCTTCACTTTACATCTTTAAATGTTCACAATGTATTGTGTTTTAATAGACCTTTTTCACAGCTGACATTTTGACTTGTCATAGTAGGAAGAGGTGTAACTGATAACGCTCACGATGGCTGCATTCCATTTATGTGAGCCACTTCCAGAATCATGGTTTCGTGCACGCTGGCTGAGTGGCATGGTTTAGTGGGACGCTCAGTGGAACTCAGTCATTGTTAATGTTAATTACACATGTGCTTTTTCTGCGGTGACTATTCAAAATGTTTGCTGTGAAAAAGGTCTATTAAATGGATAAAAATGTCATTTTTGCCCATCGGTTGACACTTAATAACCCATAATGAGAAAGTAAAAATATGTTTTTATAATTCTTTGCAAATGTATTAAAAGTCAAAAAACTGAGACCCCTTATTTAGCTAAAGCTCCGTCCTTGTGCTGTGTCCTGCAGATACACCTATGGGAAACCTGTTCTTGGTGCAGTCAAGGCAGTGGTTTGTAGAAATGCTTTCCAGTTTTACTGGAATTCACACCTTTCCGAGAATGACATCTGCAGGAATTACATAATGACTGTGAGATGAGAAAAAAAAAATCTTTTTTTTTAACCAGTTTTATTTAATTTCAATTTGAAATTCACCCATGTTTTTATTTTGTAGACGGAAAAAAGTGGTTGTGCTACGCAAACGGTGAACCTGACAGAGTTCTCCCTCGACAGCACTAAGTACCTTGATCATTTTGATGTGAAGGCTGAAATGGAGGAGTATGGCACAGGTAAGCTGGACAAATACCAGATGTTGTTCACTGATGATTGAGCAGTAATTCCTCATGAGCTGTGGTTTGTATGTTTACTGCCATCCAGGGATTGTCCTGGAAGGCACTGGGCAGGCCAGCTTCACCAATATCATCAGAAAGGTCACCTTTGAGGATTTGCCTGCAACATTTAAGCGAGGCATCCCGTTTGAGGGAAAGGTAACCAGTCTGGGAGCTACAGCCGACTGTCACCTGCCACCGCAAAAATCATTTCTTTTTTATTCTGGGGCTAGCAGTGTCGCCAGTCCGCTACTTTGGTCCCAGCTGAAATATTTATCGATGGATTGGTTACATAACATTTTGTACGTTATTTCATGGTCCCATAGGATTGATTCATAAGGATGACCCTAATCCCAATGATTCCAAGACTTTATTTCATTTATCCTGGGAAATATCAACATCTAGTGGATGGATTGGCACAAAATGTAGTTTTTATTTGTTGTGACCTTTATGGTTTCCAGATGATGTATCCTAATGACTTCTTTGATCCCTGAGCCATAAGGTTCGCATTTCTTGGATCTGAATTAAGCAAATCTGGAATACTTTGTCACTGCATTTTGGGAAAAAAACTGTGCCACGTTTAGTGATGTTGCTGAATCTAGAATCTGAAAGTGAACTGATTTGGAGTGTAATCTTTGGATTCTGTTCAGTTAGCAGTGCACACAACAGGATGTTAAATTTAGTAAATGAGTTGGGTAGTTTCCAATAGTACATGCGACATATCAAAATCACGTGACCAGATTACCCAGTACTGATTGCATTCATGCTCACTAGAGGATGAATCCCGTAGATTTTGGACACTTTATTAGCTGTGCCACCCTTTGCACATAGCACATACTATAAAAGCTTTCCATGATTATTCTGAACATATTCACACGTCCAGTGAGAATAATCCCTTTAGCTTTAACTCAAATGACCAGCACCACAAAGTTTACAGTTTTGATCCTCCTGGATTTTCTGGCGACTGTGTTGAGGAATAATGACGCTGATGGATCTTAAAAGTTTGCTTTGGGTTAGTTTCTACTTTCTGACATGTTGGCAGGTCAAAATGACGGGCCCAGGCAACCACCCTATTGCCAATGAGCCAGTGTACCTGCTCGGTGGTGACTCCCAAAACTTAACGTTGACAACAGACATGAAAGGCATGGCTTCGTTTTCTCTGGACACCTCCCTCTGGACTGACCATTTCAGTCTGACGGTTGGTCACTGTTCTCCTGTTATTCTGAACCTGTTTATTTAACAACTAGTTTAGTATTCATCAGTTTTCTGATCAGTATCTAGTTAAAGAAACTTTCATCTGATCCATTGTATTGAATGTGGCCCACATAGGTGTACGTTTTGTTTAAATGAGGGGGTTTAATGTTGCTTTGTGGTTGAGAAGTGAAGGCTGACAAATAATCATGAGTTTGACGTTTGACTTGTTGCTGTTGTATCAACAGGCGCGGCCCACAGCGAAGAATATATATGAACCAGGTGTGTCTGATAAGCGTAGACCAGAGTACAAACCGGCCCAGCACTACATCCCAGCATTTTACTCCAAGAGCAGTAGTTTTCTGAAGCTCATGCAGGTCAGCGAGAAGATCTCCTGTGACAAAGATGTAGCCGTGCGTGCACAGTACATTATCCAGGGGCAGGAGCTAAAGATGGGACAGGAAGTCCTTGACTTCTTTTATCTGGTATGTGTTACAGGGTATTAGCTACTCTGAGTATGTAAAGAACCATCTGGTGCTGTGTAGCAGATGAATGGCACAATGCTGATTATTTGTGGTTTAAGAAAATGTAATGTAAAAGTTTTGGAAAATATTTTACCACATACAATCTTTGGGAATGCTATGGTGTTCAAAACATGCTTTATTTGTACCTACTTTGTGTGTAAAAGTTCCCATAACACTTCTGATTAGCTGGAAGTGATGTCAGTGACATCCACCATTTTTGAGACCACTTAGACCATAAATCTGTATTATGGCATTGACTAGTTCAGCAGTAATTAAACCACTGTAATGAGTTTGTCTCTGAAAGGGCTGTTCATGGAGGTGGGCACTGAGTGTGTAAAAACACATTCAGGAATACTTTCTCCTTTTAATGTGAAAAACACACATTAACAAACATCTGTACCTGCAACTTCTTTTAATATAGGTGATGTCCAGAGGTGACATTGTGCAGCATGGTCGTGTCCCAGTGGCTGTTAAAGCAGGAACAGGTACAAACTAGTGTTATTTGATCTAACAAGTCTAATCTTAAAGCACGAGTCTGGTGATATTCTTTAGTTCTCATGAAAATAACAAGCAACAGTGGAAGTAACCCACTTATAAGTACGCCAGCCTAACGCAAGCCAAAATATCTTATTGCTCTGTGCCATGGAGCGCTGTTCTTAAAAAAAAAACAAAACAACCCAGCAATGACCAGATTGCAGTGGGTGATGCTGTACCTTCATCACATGAACACAACAGCCACTGTAGTTTGTTTTCAATCCCACATCCTATCTTCTGTCCTGCTGCTGTAAAAAATTTACACAGTACCCAGGAAATACAATATACTCCAAGTAAGTGAGATTTGACAGAAACTACAGTGCCCATCTGTCTGAGGAAATTCCTGAGCCTTTGTAATAAAACTTCTGTACATTTACTACATCAATATAATAAATTATCGTGAGGTGAACTAACACTAGTCTTGTCTTGAGATTTCTTGACAATAACAACAGAAGTTAGCCTAGAGTAGCTAATTTGCTAGGTCATCTTCAAGCTAGCATTGCCGCTGAATCTTTGTACATGTGTTAAATAAGAGGTTTTATGTATTGTTATACTTGTTATACTTATGTCATACATCACATGACACATTTGTTTGTCTTTCTGTTTTTCACACCACAGCCAACAAAGGAGAGTTGTCCATATCACTCCACCAGGTGACAAACCTGGCCCCATTTGCCCAGGTGGTCGTCTACACTGTGATGCCCACTGGAGAGGCTGTGGCCGACAGTCAGGACTTCCCCATTCAGCTGTGCCTAAATAATAAGGTAGTTCACAGCCACAACAGAATGAATCCAAGACTTCAATTCACTTCTGATATACACTGATCAGCCATGACATTATGACCACCTGCCTAATACTGTTTACATAGGAGTCAATGTGGTAGCTGGTTGACACTCGTGTCACTCTAAAGCTCACTGTTCATCTTCTGTGAATCCATTTGCTTCCACAGTTCTACTGTCAAGAAGAGCACAGATGTGTCTACAATTCAGTGAAAAACTGATGTAAAAGGAGTGAAACTGTGGTCGTGAGGACGAGTTAGAGAGAATGTTTTAGACCAATCCAACAGCCTCACCACTCTAGGTGTGATATCACCACTACAGCCCCTGACTCTTTCTCTTCATAGATACCAATGGACAGTGTTTCTCATTTTCAACCATTTTAACAAAGATTCAAATACATTTTAATCTTTTGAAAAGTACAAATGGAAGTTAAAAGTTTAATCTACAGTAGATCAACCTCATCATCAGTGAGCCGTGGGCGTCCATGACCCTGTCTCCAGTTCACCATTTGTCCTTCCTTAGACACTGTTGGTAGGTACTAACCACTGCAGACCAACAACACCCACCAAGACCTGCAGTGTGGGAGATGCTCTGACCCAGTCATCTCACCCTTCACAGTTTGGCCCTTGTCAGAGTCACTCAGATCCTTACACTTGTCCATTTTCCTGCTTCCAACACATCAAGTTTGAGGACTGAATGTTCACTTGCTGCCTAATATACCCCACACACTGACAGGTGCCACTGTAACAGGTAGTCAGTGTTATTCACTTCACCTGCCACTGGTCATAATCTTATGCCTGATCGGTGTATATAACCCCAAATCAGAAAAAGTTGGAACCTTATGTAAAATCAAAATTAAAACTATAAATGGTGATTTGTAAATCATCTGTGTCCTGTATTATACCGAAAACAATAGAGCAGCACATTATTTGATGTGATACTACATTAAATTTATTCTTTGTTCAATTCTGATGTCTGAAGCACATTCCAAAAAATGTTGGGGCGGTTGCAATTCAGCGCCAGTAATGAAGTAAAATAATGAAATGATTCCATGTGAAACAGGTGACTGCATCATGATTTGGTACAACAGTGGCATCCAGGAAAGGCCGAGTCCTTTAGGAGCACAGATGGGCCGAGGACCACCAGTTTGTCAATGTACTGTATGTGTCAGAAAAAGACTGAAATGTTTACAACTGATCTTCCTCAGAGAAAGATACAAAGAGATTTGGATATGTCACCCTCTGTGGTGCAGAACATCATTAAAAAATTCAAGGAATCTGGAGGGATTTCAGTGCATAAAGTGCACAAGCCTAAGCTGGATGACGGTGCTCTCTGATCCCTCAGACGGCGGTGCATCAAGAACCATCACTCTTCTATAAGCGATATAACCACATGGGCTCAGGATGACTTTGGCTCACCTGTGTCAGGCACTACAATATGTAGTTACATCCATAAATGCTGCTGTAAACCGTACTGTGCCAAAAGGAGGCTCTATGTCAACAGTGTCCAGAAGCTCAGTTGACTGCTCTGGGCTCAGAGGCATCTGGGATGGACCATCACACAGTGGAAACTTGCACTGTGGTCAGAAGAATCAGTGTTTCAGGTCTCTGTTGGAAGGAATGGATGCTCGGGACCAAAGACAGAAAAGAGCCATCCAGACTTTTACTATCAACAAGTCCAAAAGCCAGGGTCTGTCATGGTCTGGGGTTGTGTCAGTGCCCTTGGCAAAGCTAACTTCCACTTCTGTGACGGCTCCATTAATGCTGAACAATACACAGAGGTTTTGGAGCAACATCTGCTGCCTTCAAGACGACGTCTTTTCCAGAGAT